TTTCTCTATAATTCAACCTCTCTGCTTCACTCCCATATCTGGAAGGTCTACCCATTTATATTTTCTTCCCTACTATCTTGTCCTCTTTCTTCAAACATTTCTCTACACCATCTTTAAACAATCTCTTCTATGTGTACCTGTGAAGACAACACTAATTACATGATACCAAACTTCAACATCCTCATTCTACATTGTTTCTCCCTTTTTCTGAAATTTCAGTAATTCCTTTAAGAGAGTAAAGTAAGGAATTTAATTTCCCCAATTGTATCCCCATTTCTACCATAAACTCACTTGAACTGGTTTGCTTTTAACTTTAATGGGCTTATCATTCACACATCATTCTCAATCCCACAGATCATCCATACCATGTATGGTCTGATCTTATCATACACACAAACCTCTAGACAATTCAGATCAGCCAGGTGGCTTTTATGACACCTATGCTCCCAGCAGCACACCCTTGAAGTAGACACAATGTATACCAGACACTGAGTAAACACAAAGTTTATAGTTTTTTACTGTCTTCACTCATATGCCCCCTAGTCGTTAGTGGGAATTTTATTTCTCTTTCCCCAAATTCTCACCAAAAGAAACCTCTATTATCCACTAGGCATCACAGTAATTTCCATTCTTGTCTTAGTTACTTCTCTTATATTTAGTCCCCATTTCTGGTTATCCTCTTTATTTGTATTTTCCTATTTTAAACGTTTAGTTGTTTTTCTGTTTTATTCTTCTTATTATCTTTTCTTTTGCTTTAATGGTTTCGGTAAAACCTGAAACCACATTTCAATATCTCATTTGGCTTTACATCAACATAGGCTTGGAAACTCCCATCACCTCATATATGATTCATTATGCAACTATGCCAGTTCCTACTCAGGAACTACACAGACCCAGTAGTGGTTATGACTGGTCTTTTTCATTCTTGATTTGATTCAAAACACTGTACTCACTTTTCCAATGGATGGAGTGGACACTGTCCACCACCTAAGTCTGACATCAGGCGGGATCCTGCCCTCCGTTTGTCGGAGCGGAACTTTCCCTGCCGGCATTTACCTTCAGTCTTGACCCAGGCGCTGATCAGCCACACTTCCATCCCCCCTTGTCACCAAACATAGGGGTAATTCTTCCTTCTAGTTCTTTAAAGCATTACAAACCCAGTGTGATAAATCAAATTCCTTTACTCATGCAACATAGAGGGGAGGCCACAGCCTAGACATTCCCTCTTAACTTTCAGAATGCACTCCCTTATTAACTATACAGGTGTTAACTTTGAGTAATCACAATGTATATTTTCCTATCTTTTTAGACATACCTGTGTTTACAGTCAAGCTAAGGAATATCAATCAGCTTAACTCAGGAACACTTTTAATCGCCGAAATAACATTTGCCTATTTTTTTTTCTTTTATCTGTCAACATAATTCTCATTTATAAATTTAATGGATCTCAATCGAATAGTTTTATAATCAAGCAACAGCCACTAACAAACAAAAAACATTTTATTGGGCTTCTATCTACCCCTCCTCCTTGCAGCTCCAAATCTACAAACTATAGCACCTCTATGTAAGCATGGGAGTGACTATATGTCTGTGTAATCCTAAACTCCTGAAAACCCCACACATGCGCAATTCATTTGCCAATGTGACTTCATGGTAAACAGAGCTGCAGTTAGCAGCACCCAAGCTAAACGGTTACAGCATCCCCCTTTCACTCCTCACTAATCTCTCCACTTCCCTACAAAATCATAACATCCTTCCAGAGGCTCATGAGTTTTAACAAGTTTGAAAACGTTCTCTCAACGGAGACTCGTAGATTTTAACAAATTCAAAAACCTCCTCCCGGAAGAGGCTCATAGATTTTATTTATTATTTGAAAACTGTCCTCTCAAAAGAAGCTCATACGTTTTTAACAATAATGAACAGAATATCTTTCCTTAAAAATAACTAAACCTCCTGTTCTCAACCAAAACATATATATATCTACTATAACATCTTATCATGACATGAGTCACATATATCAACCTCTGCACAGCCTTTCACACACAGCTGGAACACAGCAGAGTCAGCACTCTCCACATACACACACAAGCTCTGTCTCTCATACACACACAAAAACTAGTTATCCAGCATCAAACATACATAGCCAAGTCAAACAGCATTCAACTCTTAATCCTCTAAATCAATTCATTCATACTATTCCTAAAGCATGCTTCCGCCGCTCCTTTATCCTTTTTTCCTTTATATTTTCCTTTCTAAATTTTTGCTACCTTGAGGTGTAGATATTCAATGAGAGGCTGCTTCAGACACCGTTCGTCAACAAATGTATTGAGTGGGAACTTACAATTGAATTTTTATTCTACACCTTCCAGTTCCTTGAACTGACCTGAAATTCACCTAGTGACTTTCCAGGATTTGCGGCCCATCTAAATTGCCTCCTTGAGGGCTTTTGTCCAAATCAGCGGCGTCCTAATCCTTTTCCTTATTCCTTATTTCCTTATTTTATTTAAGCCAAATTTCCCTGGGCCCAGGGTTGTCACTCTCTTTTTCCTTTAGTCCAATTCGACTATTCCTTAAAGCCTACTTTCACGCAGTGTCTAATTTACACATGTCTTACCGTTAAGGAGTTGAGGGCCCAGTCTCCATTAATCTTGCATAGTTCTTTAGCTCACCTTCTCGTTACTAATTAGGCTATTCTACATCTATTCCTTATCCTTTACCTTATTTTCCTATTTTCTATCTTCCCTAATTACACTCACACTCCCCCCTGTTGCGTTGTCTACAACGCAACACAATTTAGAACAGAATCTCACCCCACACATCAACACAGCATGGCACACACACACCAGGTCCTTCACGGTGTGACCAGACAGCACACACACACACAACCTCAACGAACGAACCAGCGGCCAAATTTGTGAGTAAATGCTCACCCTATTTGCCAGCTTTTGATGCGGGAGTCAGTACGTTGAAGTCGTCAGCGAGGCAGCAGGTCACAGCACGTCCGGAGTTTGTGACGCCAAATTCTTGTGGTATATTAAGTAGCGATGATGTGAAGATGTGTTGAAGAGAAGTCCGCTGACACCATCTTGATTTTATATAAAGGTTTATTACAAAAATGTACAGCATCATTTCAAGCCCCGGGAGCTTGGAGAGCATCCTGCCAAATGAACAACTCTGTCTATTTTGCATCGAAAATAGGTTTATATAGGCCTGTTGTTTACTCCAAAAACAGAAAGAAACATCTGGATTAGCTATCAGATGTACTGAAATAAGGGGAGATGGGGGTTTTCAAGGCAGAGGTCATTGAGAGGCCCCTAACCTAAACACTGCCTAGTAAGAATTACGACGTTGAACCTCATGTCTTACTAACACTACATATGGTAACAAAATATAATTTGAACTCATACCAAAATGTAATTTAACTTTATAAGCTTTCAGATACTACAATGACATCGTCACCAAACTGGACAAAGCAGAGATCAGGACCAACTGGGGTAAGACTGACATTAGAGTGTGCTGAATGGGACTGCATGCCTGTTGCTTGTTTGTGTTTGTATCCATCTACAGCTAACCTCGCATTCTAGTTGACCTCAGCCTCATTTCTTTTGTGCACATGTATGACTGTGTGCTTAAGGACCTTTCGTTGTTGTGGTGACTGACAATAATAGTGGGCGATATAGCCAAAATCCTCTATCACAGTATATGGAATTTTAACGTTCTATCACAAGACAGTAACTGAAAACGTTGACAAACACAAACACAAACACACACCACCCTTCTTTTAGCAATAGTATTTTATTCACACTGAATTAACTGGAGGCTGTTCGTCACTCACACACAGTGGAGAGAACACAGCTTCTAGAGCAGCTTCAGGACAGTCTGTAGTTTCTCACAGGAAGAGGATATTGTTGGACTGGTCCACTGGCTGCAGGGTCTCAGTGGGTGTTAATGATTTAGGAAGATAATTCATGAAAGGTTCCTCATACCACAGCGGTTGCTAACTAGAGTGGAACCAGATAAACATTGATGGTGGTTGACTGTTGAGCATTGAACCATGGCATTCACATGATGTTGCTTATTAAGCCAGTTGGGCCAGCCAGAAGTTTTGTCAAAGTGTCTGCTGTTTGCTTTGGTGAGTGAAGGATTTAACGACCCTCAAACTGTGTGAACAGAGACAGCACGGTGTTGGACATGTGCAAGTTGTCACATGTATTTCACATAATGTAATGAGTTGTGCACAGAGGTGTTCAGCTCAAAGGCAGACACTTAAACAGACATTTTCAACTCCCAATTATGCATTAATATATCATATCTTATCTTCAAATTTAGTTTTTTAGAAAATAATGACCTAGATCTGGACCTCAGTGACCTCATAGCTGACTGTGGCCATGATCATAAGAGTGACCGCTACCCTATACACTTATTGGTCAGGCCAGCAATGTCATAAATAGGTTGTTTTGAGACACTGGGGGTGTGTGGTGCAAAGTCTTTCAAATGTGGGTCCAGAGTAAACATCAGTACTGCTGGATGGTCTTGCTTTTATATCTAATGGAACAGGAGATTGACCCCCCACCCCCACGTAATAAAGTTGAGTCATAACAGAAACACTCCCACTTTGCTCCGCAAAGACAAAACAGTAGACAGAGGACACAACAGCTCAACCAGCTCGGTCCTTTACCCACCCGACTTTATCAAATCAAGATGAAAACGTTATTTTTGTTGCTTCTCTTGTGTCACGTTTCATCAGCAGGTAAGATCACATTTGAACTTTTTAAGCTCTTTGCTTCACTTTCCACTCGGCTCTGCATTTGACTGCTATAACGTGAGCCACAGAGTGCATTTGGCTCCTGTAGCTCCAGAAAACAGCACTTTAGTTTCACTTTTACTTAAACTTTATAAGACTGACTTTATATGTTTTAATAGAATCATATGCTGCTAACTGAATACATCAGATTCATGATGGGTCTTTACTGAATGTATAAACTGTGTTTGTCCTGCAGTGAAACACTCAATGATGATTTTTATAACTGGATCCAGTGGAGTCCCAAACTTATCAGAGTTTGTAGGATCTCTAGAAGTTGACGGAAGCCTGGTCGGTTACTGCGACAGCAACAAGAAGATATTAGAACCAAAACAGGACTGGGTGAAAAAAGTCTTTGAAGATGATCCTCAGTACTTTGAGTGGGCCACTCAGGAGTGTTTTGAGAATGGGCCAAACATATTCAAAATGTGGATTAATAATTTGAAGCAGCACCTCAACCAAAGTGAAGGTAAAGTTTTTTCGTATATTATATTTTACTTTTACTACTAAAATGATTTGCATCCTGGTTTGTTGTTTGACACACAGATATAGGATAGCTAACATGTGCATATTAATGAATTTGAGCTTGGACTGCATCTGAGACTGCAGGTGTCACACAGGTGTGACTTTGTTTTAATAAGAGTTTAATGTGCATATAATTCAACATACCCACTTTGTATACTGCCACTGACAGTCATCTGTCAATTCATACAACAGTAGCTACTATTGTAACTTTTAGCTGTGGAAAATAAATTGGGTTTCATCACTCAGATAAAGTGCACTGATTATCTGCTCTTGAATCATGATCACACCACAAGAAACAAATGTCACACAATGCACAATATTTATAAGATCATCTTTCCACTGGAGATTTCATCTGTATTCTGCACATTGTTAATTACAGTCTCTGTTTCTGTCTCTGTCTCTCTCTCAGGTGTCCACCTTTTACAGGAGATGTTAGGATGTGAGTGGGATGATGAGACTGGAGAGGTTAATGGTTTTAATCAGTTTGGTTATAATGGAGAAGACTTCATATCTCTTGACCTCAAGACATTGACATGGATCGCTCTGAAACCTCAGGCCGTCACCACCGCACTGGAATGGGATGCTGACAAAATTGGAATAGAATATGTTAAGAAAACAACCACTGAGATTTTCCCTGGGTTCCTGAAGAAGTATGTGGACTATGGCAACAGCTCTCTGCAGAGAAAAGGTAAAATCACATGACCTGATTTAGTTTGATGAACTCAACAATGTTCCTATAATCTGCTCAGACTGAACTGCCATTGTATTATTACTCCAATCAGTTTGACGTTATCTTATTTTTGGCTGTTGAAGGTATTATTTGATTTAGCCCTGACCAATCAGTAGAGACTGACAGTTGTAGGTGCTCTACATTACTTTCCATCAAAGCTGATACTGTGATAGCCAGACAGTGCACCACTAGCATGAGGTAAGTAAGTTTACACAGATGGTATGGATGGGTAACATTAAGGTTTTAACAGTACTATTACCAATACTGCTTATTGATCCATTACTTTACTGGTACTCTGGTCAGTTCTTTTATTTTTCGTTATATATATAAATAGATAGATAGAATTTTTTCATTTTGTCCAAATTTAACATCAGACAATTTCAGGTCATCCAGGTTTTTATGTCCTTAAGGCCTTTGATCATACCTGGTAAAGAAGTGCCAACTAAGGGTAAAACTTGTTTTTAAACATGTCATCACATTTCATCATTGGTTTAGTTAACTCTGTGTGTGCTCTAAGCTGCTAGCATATGCTGCTTAACATACCTGAGGTGGATTACTGCTTATCTTCTACCACCACTAATCAGAAGGTTTTTGGTTCGATCCCCAGCTCCTCCCGCCACATGTCAAAGTATCCTTGAGCAAGATACTGAACCCCAAATTGCTCCCGATGTTTTCCTTTGCCATCACTGAGTGAATGTTTGTGAAAGGGTGAATGTGGCACGTGGTGTTAAAGCCCTTTGAGTGGTCAGAAGACTAGAAAGGTGCTGTACAAGTACAGGACCATCCACTCATAAAGCAGACTGATACAGTGTGTCTTTCATTGCTTATCTCTGTCCCATTTTCTCTTTCACTCATCTTGATTCCTCCTTCTTGAATTTCTTCATCTTTCATTCACTTGTTTTATTTCCTTCCCTGCTCTCTCTTTTTGTCTTTCTCTATCCCTTTCAAGTTTTTCACCTTCTCAATCCCTCTTTCTCTCTTTTTCTCTTCCCTCTCTAGACCGTCCCTCAGTGTCTCTCCTCCAGAAGACTCCCTCCTCTCCAGTCACCTGCCACGCTACAGGTTTCTACCCTGACAGTGCCTTGATGTTCTGGAGGAAAGATAGGGAGGAGATTCATGAGGACGTGGACCACGGAGAGATCCTCCCCAACCACGATGAATCCTTCCAGATGAGTGTTGACCTGAACCTTTCATCAGTCCCACCTGAAGACTGGAGGAGGTACGATTGTTTGTTTCAGCTCTCTGGTGTGAAGAACGACATCGTCACCAAACTGGACAAAGCAGAGATCAGAACCAACTGGGGTAAGACTGGAAATAGTTTTGTTCGTCCACTGAAGCTAGACCTCCATCATAACTACAAAGGTGATGTCCTAAAACCTGTGTTGTCAACTCCACTGTTATGTAGCTGTTGTCAACTGTAGAAGGGTTGATCCGATGTTAACTCTTCGCTCTAATTTTACATCTTAATCCTCAGATTGGGCATTAATCCGGTTTACAACTTGGGTCATATTTCCATAGTTTTGGCCGGCATTTTTATCAGTTATGACAGCGTTGTACTCTTCAAAGTCCTCAATCATATCTGGGGACACAGTGACATCAGTACAACACACAAGCATGTAAGATGTAAGATTATTAGCTCTGAGCTCTCAAACACATGCAAGTGTCAAAGGAATCCAGAACTATACTTTTCATGTGACTGAAATACATTCTGTTTCTCACTTTACTGTCTTATTCACACAATCTGCTCTTCGTACTTCAATACTAAAGTGAATCCTGTAAACTAAACATATTTATCTCCTTCCAGTGGGAGAGACAAAGTGTGAATGTTCTGTTTTGGCTCCAGTTTCTCCCTCAGAGTTTCCTGCTGGTGCTGTTATTGGAGTTGTTGTAGGACTGCTGCTGCTGGCACTCTGCATCACTGGACTCTTCATCTGGAGAAGGAACAAAAATGGTGAGTGAAGCCATTTTTACTCCACTGGATTTAACATTTTACCAAAAGAACACAGAGGTCCTCAGCAGACGTACTGTATATACTAAGTGAAAGTGTTGCTCTCCTACATTTTTATTCAGAGCAGAGATCTGTGACATTCATGAGGAATTTCTTCCTATAAATGTATTTTATTTTGTGTCCTGTCATACATTCTGATTAACTTCTAATAATGTAATGTCTCATCTGTATTTCAGGATTCAGACCTGCATACAGTAAGTTTGGCTTTATACAATATATACATTTATATGTAGTCAGGTGAACAAGGGTTACAGGTTACAGGGGTTTCTCCTTAAAGTGTTATGTAGCTTGCTTGTGGGGTTAGTACTGCAGTAGCGTTCTTTTTCCCTCAAGGGGGCATTGTTATATTACGAGTAGCGCAAAGGCATATCGCTAGTGAGCGAATAATTTTGGCGACACCAGAAACAAGGAAGTGGCAGTACCAGGAGGTGACTGACTGCCGTGATCTGTAAATTAGTTTTGTGTACGTATCTCCACCACGCTGAGGGCAACACTGAACAGCGGGGTTAGCAGGGGAGATATATGCCTGTTGAATTCCAGGTGTGTGTATCTTGGAGCACAGGCTGCACACTGGAGTGAAAAGAGGTGCCACTACTGTTGTGTAGAATAAGCTAATGTCTGAAGTTCAGTTTAATGAAGTTGAGCGGTATGAGTTTGAGCCTGGTTACTGTAGCTGTGGGTAGTCTACATACACCATTGTTCATCAGGTGGTAAGGAGAACTGTTGAAGCTGATGGTTGTTGTCAGACAAGGAATAGGGAAAGGTTATCATTCTGTTTTGTTATAACTATAACTGTCCTAAATCCTCAAAAAAATACAGTATTAATGCTGTTCTTTATTAAGCTCAGTCGGGGGAAAGGAAACCCACAAAAATAATTTTATTTGAGTTCAGTCTCATCATTCTTGACCAGGCCATACATTTTGGTGTCAGAAGTGGGATCCCCTCTTAGATTTTGAGGTTTTAGTTTGGATAGGGACAGTGAGCATCTAGACAACAGTAGTGGTGAAGAACAGTCCAGAAGGTGTGGCGTCGGCCGTGCGACCTGTGGCTGGTGGGCCAGGACGAGAGGTGTCTGCAGGCTGCTGGAGGAGAGGACTGCCGACGTCACATTCTGTGACAGTGCAGGACAGAGGAACATTGAACTGGTTGTGACTGTTATTTTGCTGCAATAAAGACAGTGTAAGAGACACTTACACTGACACAGAATGTCGGATGAAGACGAGGGGGCAGCTGCCCCTTGGCCGGGAACCAGCCGGGATGAAGATAACCCAGCTGCTTCTTAACATGCTGATGGAGGTAATCCTTTGGCACAGCTGCAGTCACAGATTTTGGAACTGAGTAAAAAACATGATGCAGTAATGTCAAGTATTACTAATTTGGGTGATGTTCAAATAAGGTCTATCGTCTACATTCCAAGAGAAAAACAGATTGTACCTTTTAGTGGTGAACCAGGGAAAGATGTTCACACTGTAGACGAGTTTATAGAGGAGGTGGAGCGGGTGATGAGAGCAAGGAGTCTGCGTGGAGAGGAACAAGTAGACTTTATTCTCTCATTGCTAAAAGGTTCAGCCCTAGAGGAGGTGAAACTACGTATGAGGGAACAGGCTAAGCAACCCAGTGATCTGTTCTCATACTTGAGGGGAGCCTTTAGAGAGAAGCGCACTACTCCACAACTGTTACACGCTTTCTATGCTCGCAGACAAGTAGATGGGGAAGACATGCGCAATTATTCACATGCTCTCTCACAGCTGCTCAATTCGGCTCTCCAACAGTCTCCTAATGCAGTAGCTGATGTACAGCTAGCACTTAGAGATCAGTTCATTGAAGGGCTACACGACTCCACTTTTCACCGTGAGTTGCGTAGGCTTATCAGAGAGAAGCCCGACTCTAATCTGTTTGATGTACGGGAAGAGGCCATGATGTGGACTCTCAAAGACAGTCCACGGAACACTAATGTGGCAAGAAACCGAAACCTAGTGGGTGACCGCACGGATGAGATTTCAGAACAGCCTAACTTGACCAGTAGCATACAGACTGACTTGACTGTGACTTTGCAAGAAGTAGTAAAGATAATTGCACAACAGGGAAAAGCTATTGGTGAACTAACCAATGCTGTCAAAGAACTCACTATGCAGAATGCCAGTTCAGATGGTGGTAGTATGGGTGGTCGACCTAAAATCCAGGCCAAGTACACTAATGACGGTCAGCCAATCTGTCTCTGTTGTAAAGGGGTGGGGCATATGGCAAGACAGTGCACTGCATCACGCAAACCAGGAAGTCAGTCTCCCGTTATGCCTAGTCCTGCGGTGCAGGGAAACAGGGGCCCTCCATTGCTATGAGCCGGGCAATGCGAAGTAAGTCAGAAGGCTCAAGGAACATTATAACCAAAGAACACTTTCTGGAAAGGGCTGTGGGCCAGTGCCCCGAAGTAGATGTCCAGATAGGTGGTGTCCACCTTAGGTGTTTGTTGGACACAGGGAGTAATGTAAACACCTTGACAGAAAGCTTCTTCAGAGACCATCTCCATGGACAAGATGAAGATATGCACTTTACAACTAAGTGGCTAAAAATAACAGGCTATGTTGAGCTGGACATGGAAGTAATGGGGCTTACCGTCCCAGAGTGTGGTTTCCTAATAATCAAAGATGATGGGACCAAAGAACCAGATTCATCTCCACCTGGCATTATTGGAATGAACATTGCCAAGTGGTGCAGACAGTACTCTCAGAGTTTGACACAGCTCTAGGTGCAGGGTTAAATTCTGTTTGGAGCGAGGCCTTCCAGCGAGTACAGGAGGCGGACCTTGTTGAAAAGGTGTCCACAGCTCATGTAGCAGGCAAACATAAAGTGCATATACCAGCCTCATCTGTTGCCACAATCCATGCAAGGGGATTTAGGAGGCAGTCTGATGGTGACTCCAGCATACATCTTGAGCCAGGGAACACTCCCCTGCCTGGCGGGTTGATAGTTGTCCCTACTGTGGTCTCATCCAACAGTCATGTGTTTCCAGTCCAAGTCATTAACCTCTCCCAGGAGGATGTCTGGTTGCCCCCTAAGACTAGACTAGATAGTCAGTGTATGGAGGGTGACCCCAATGAGGTGAAGTTTCAACGTATTTCCTCTAACCATGAGGTGGTGACAGTCAACCGAAAGGATAATGAAGAATGTGACAGTGACATGCAGAGCTTACTGGACCGACTACACCTAGGGGGTACACCAGAGCAACAGGCAGAGCTAGGAGCGCTCTTGATGAGATATGCAGATGTGTTTGCAGCTCAGGACGAGGATCTAGGATATACTGATCAGATGAAACATGAAATCCCTGTGGTGGATGAGACACCTGTCTCCCAACCCTACCGGCGCATACCCCCTAATCAATACCAAGAGGTCAGGGAGCACATTTCTGAACTGCTGAGAAAGGGAGTGATTCAAGAGAGTTCAAGCTCCTACGCTTCACTTATCGTTTGGTGTGCAATTCTGATGGGACTCTAAGACGTGCGTAGACTACAGACGGCTGAATGCAAAGACCAAGCATGATGCGTTTCCACTCCCACGCATTGATGAAAGCCTGGATGCTCTGAGTGGGGCCAAATTCTTCTCAACAATCGATCTCGCAAGCGGGTACCACCAGGTTGCAGTACATGAGAAAGACAGGAACAAAACAGTGTTCACTACGCCATTTGGCCTCTATGAGTATCCGAGGATGCCTTTCGGGTTGTGTAATGCGCCCGCTACATTTCAACGCCTGATGCAAGCTACAATGAGTGATCTAGTGTTCCAGATTGTGTTAATCTATTTGGATGACTTGAGACTATGAGACTGTCCTTAAGAGGCTGAGGGAGACAGGGCTAAAAGTAAAAGTGGAGAAGTGTCACTTTCTTCAGTCTGAGGTCAGTCTCATCCCAAGGCCTAGGCACCGATCCTGATAAAATAAGTGCAGTGAAGTCGTGGCCCGCCCCTAGTACTGTAAAAGAGCTTAGGTCATTTGCAGTGACTATAGGAGGTTTATTGAGGGTTTTTCCCAAATTGCAGGGCCCCTTCATGACGTGGTAAATGCCTGTATCAAAGAGTGTAGCCAGGCTAAGGTTAATCAGAAGTTCAGGTCAGCCTGGACGCCGCAGAGTCAACTAGCCTTTGAGCTACTAAAAGGAAAGCTAACTAGTGCCCCCACATTAGGCTACGCAGGTTTGGGTGCTGTTCTCTACCAAGAGCAGAAAGTTATAGCCTATGCAAGTCGGAGGCTTAGAGGGGCTGAGAAAAATGATCAAAACTACAGCAGCATGAAGCTGGAACTCCTTGACCTAAAGTGGGCGGTCACAGAAGCTATCTCCTGGGCTCTAAGTTTACTGTCATCACAGATGAAAAACCCCTTTGTCACCTCTCCACTGCCAATTTAGGAGCCATTCAGCAGCGATGGGTCACTCAGCTAGCTGTGTTTGATTTCGATGTGAAGTATTGCCCTGGCTGATGTAATACTGCAGCTGATGCTCTGTCCTGGACCTGAACCTGTCAGTGAGGATGCAGAGTACGATGGGTGCGTAGCGATATGTAATGCCCTTAGTACAGGCACAGATCTAGGCCTGGACTTAGTAACTGCTGGCGTAGAGCACTGTAAGATCAGGCAGCTATGTGCATCTGAGGTAGGTGAGACAGTGATAAGTGAGGCAGTTTAGGATAACACACCCACCTTGCCTGGATATTCAAAAGCGGAACTACAGAGCTTTCAGGCAGCTGACCCAACAATTAGAGTGTTAAGAGAGTTTTGGAGCCAACAAAAGAAACCTACCTACCAGGAGAAAGCAGGTTTTCCTAAACCAGTGCACTCCTTGTTGAGACACTAGCCTCGGATTAGAGAAAAAGATGGACTCTTGTACCATGTGATGGAGGATGTCCACCTCGGAAAGTGTCACCAACTGTTGTTGCCAGCCTGCCTCAAAGAACAAGTGCTCAAAAGCGTGCACGGGGCATTAGGGTATAGAGCGGACCCTGGGTCTAGTGAGACAGAGATGCTTTTGGGGGGTATGCATGAAGATGTCGAGCAGTGGGTGAAGAGCTGTCAGATAGATGGATAGATAGATATACTTTATTGATCCCAAGCTGGGAAATTTCAGAGGTGTATATTTAATATATTTGTGTTATTTATTTGCTCCTGAGCATTAGTAATCAATCAATCATGTCCAGGCTCTCTTATATAATTATATAATTTCAATTATATCATTTTCAAACTGAATTATCTTAATTTCTGCTTCTAGCTTCAGACTCTTCAGCATCGCTGTCGCACAGAAATTCAGCTCCCAACTGATCACAGTGAGTATGTCATTGTTTCAACAAGGCTGTGCAAATATTATGTCCACTGACATAATGTACAATATTCTTGCTGTATTTTACATGCAGCTGAAAACATTCTGCAAGAGAAAACATTTTCTCAGTCCATCCATTATAACTACAGGAAGCAGATGGCTCTGGGGTTTTATGATACTACTCCAGAAATCAAAAGTGGAAGAAGTATTCAGATTCTTTACTTAAGTACATGTACCAACACAACAATGTGACAATACTCTGTTATCGTCAAAGTCCTGCATTCAAAAGTCTAATAGTGTTATCAGCACAATGTAATTTAAGTATCAAAAGTACAAGTATTTGTTATAACAAAAAAATCCTCCTGTAAGTGCTATAATATTACAGGTGGAGCTAGTTTTTACTGCTTTATATACAGTTAGGTACTCTGGTCCAGTGGTTCCCAGTTTAGGGGTTGAGTCCCCTGTAAAGGGAATAGAAGTATAAAGTAGCATAAAAAAAAAACCTTTGTCAGAAACAGATAATCACTTACATAAAGTATGTTAATAATATTCATGAACTCTGATAAGTTTCTAATCAGTTATTCAACTTTTCATTTATTAATCTGTTTTTACAGGTTCCCACTGAAGATACAAGAGAACTCCAATGATGTTACTGTGGCATCCAAACCATTCTTTCTTTTCCAGAGAGCACTTTATTCTCATTTACAGAAGACATATTTATTTAGGAAAATATTTGTAACATTGAGATGAGAAGTCATAGACCCTGTCAGAACATCACAGGTTAAAGTATGAATTCCTTTACTCACCAAAGAAGATTATTTAGGTGTCAGTCAGAGCTGACAGAAGCATTACTGTCGAGAAAATCCTCCAGGAGTAAAAACATCTGGAGTGATGCTGCTGTCCAGCTACCAAAAAGGAGGTCCTGGACCTTATCTAGTTTAGATTGTAAGGCACTAGTTATCTTTCTTTGTTGATTAGTAGTAAGTTTCATGTTTCTACTTTTGAAGCACACTAATGAAAACTCTGCACTAAACCCTGTTATAAAATATTGTCCCTCTATTGTGTCAGAAAATCAAACAATAAAATCTTAGTCCTCATATATAAATCAGCACTAATGGCTTAGCCCCAACATGTATCACTGAGCTGCTTCTACAATATGAAACTGCTGGGCCTCTGAGATCTTGTGGAACTGCTTTTTAAATTCTGAAAAATCATTTATCTAGCTATATTTAGCTGCTGTTACATTTTATATATTTTATTGCTGTTAACTGTTTTTAGGTTATTTTCTGAAATACTGAACCTTTACATCCTTTCTGTTAATCCATATATAATTATGGTTACCACAAACTAATAAAAGTGTGATGGAAACTGAATTGATTTTTTTATTTGTTCATTTTTGAGTTCATAGTGATTTCATTATCTGTTAAGAATTGTTTAGACAGTGCACTGAAATCAGGTTGGAGGTGTGTGTAAAGCTAAAATACAACAGCTGTCACAGCTTTGTTAAAAAATATTCTGTTCAAATTTGTTTAGAAAAATGAGGTTAATTTAGTTTAGAATATGAGTCAAAATATCCAATATAACAATTGTTTTCTGAAAGATTAAGTAAAAAATGTTGCAGCTTAATTTGCTGAAGCTGTCAAGGGGAAAAAACTGTTTTTAGTTTGAATCTGGATCTTGGTCCAGTGTTAAAGTCCTCGTCAGCCACAACTTCGTTTTCGTTTCCTTCCTCTTTGCCCCTTCTCATCTTTCTCCACACCCTCTCCCTCTCTTACTCCCTCTTCCTCCATTGTCTCTATCCTAATGCTATAGTCTCTGTTTCTATAGTAACCCAGAATAGACAAACCATACACTTGCTGTAGATAGGGTCACCATGATGACTATAATGTATTCAAATAGTTGAATGTAACTTAATGTCACTAAATCCTACACACTGAAATATTTCCACTCAACATTGACACTGTGATTGAGAACTTTACTGAGAACCATAAAAACAGGTAGTGAGTTTCTTCAGTGGTGGTGTAGTTCTCTTTTGTGTTTATATACAGCCAATGTGGAAGTTGTGTAGAAAAATGGGGTATTATGTAGCACTATCATATGTTTTTATAGTTTCTAAGAGTGTTGTATGGACCTGTACATGTAGTGCATTTACCTGAAAGACAAGTATTTTACATGTTGTGAGTTTAATGTATTTGTTGTGTCTTTAGTTCACTTAAAGGTACTCTAAGGAGTTTTTGACCACTAGTAGTACTATTGAGATTTCTGTTTACAAGTAGATTACTGATTGTTTGTATCTTGTGCACATACACAAGGAAGCATCCTATAGCATATAATGGTAATATGCCAAGAAAGGCATTGAAGTATGAGAAGAAGAAGAAGACTGTTACCAAGTAAATATGGTTCTCATCATTATCTAACCTCTTTACCCTATATAATTTATATCACCCCTGAAAAAATGCTTGATGCTTTGTTGTGTAATAATGCGGAGGAGGTCAGTCAGAGAAAGTCAGTGTTCCAACTATTTCTGTATCAAAAAATTTGAAACTTCATAAGTCAAACTTAACAGACTCAGCACAAACTCCATCTTAAATCTATGGGGCCAAAACAAAAGCTAAATAAAACAGAAGCAGATTAAGCAGAATTGAATTAACATCTGATGTGTCAAATTTCTGTGTGTCACACTGTGTTCTGGACTTTACCTGACAGACAAGTGCAGACAAGTAATAACAGATACAGCAACAACAGGTAACTGACATTTAAACAAACACAACCTTTCAAAAATGTTGTGGTTCCATACATGTTATGTTTATAATAAAGAAATTAAATTATTTAGAGTAAAGCTTTTGTTCACCTCTAGGGATCATTAACTGGTGAACAATTCAATTCAATTCAATTCAATTCAATTCAATTCAATTTTATTTGTATAGCGCCAATTCATAACAGAAGTTATCTCAGGAAAATTTTCAGATAGAGCAGGTCTAGACCGTACTCCTTATAACATTATTTACAGAGACCCAACAGTACCACCATGAGCAAGCACTTGGTGACGGGGGCAAGGAAAAACTGCCTTTTAAGAGGCAGAAACCTAGGACAGACCCTTCGACTCTAGGTGGGTGGTCGTCTGCCTCGACCAGTTGGGGTGAGAGAGAGAGAGAGAGAGAGAGCAACACCAGTAGCAAAAACTACACTAATAGTGACTGATGATGATGAACATGAAGAAGATGATGACGACAACAACGACGGGGGATAATGAGCAGTGACAATAGTAATAATAGTAACTGTAGTAATAATAATACTTATAATAATAATAACACTAATATCAGTAATATTAACAATGGCAGTCAAGCAGGACCATGGCAGGAGGCTCCACCAGGATCCATGAGAACCTGCGAGACGAGAAAGCACAAGAACTCCAGGGAAGAAGTGAAGTTAGTAACATGCATTAATGGGACATGAATGAGTGCAGAAAGAGAGAGAGAGAGGAAGAGAGGAGCTCAGTGCATCATGGGAAATCCCCCAATAGTTTAGGCCTACAGCAGCATAACTAAGGGATGGTTCAGGACTCACCTGATCCAACCCTAACTATAAGCTTTATCAAAGAGGAATGTCTTAAGCCTACTCTTGAATGTGGTGAGGGTGTCTGCCTCCCGAACCACAACTGGAAGCTGGTTCCACAGGAGAGGAGCTTGGTAACTGAAGGCTCTGGCTCCTGTTCTACTTTTAGAGACTATAGGAACCACAAGTAGCCCAGCATTCAGAGAACGCAGTGTTCTAGAGGGGTAATAGGGTACTATGAGCTCTTTAAGGTATGAAGGGGCCTGACCATGAAGAGCTTTGAAGGTGAGGAGGAGGATTTTAAATTCTATTCAGAATTTTACAGGGAGCCAATGCAGAGAAGCTAGTACAGGAGGGATGTGATCTCTTTTCCTAGTTCCTGTCAGTACTCGTGCTGCAGCGTTCTGAATTAATTGGAGCGTCTGAATGGACTTATTGGGGCAACCTGATAATAAGGAGTTACAGTAATCCAGACTAGAAGTAACAAATGCATGGATCAGTTTTTCTGCATCTGTCTGTGACAGGACACCTCATATTCCAGAGAACAAAGACTCAGTCAGTGAACGAGGAAACAACATTGCACTGAAGACAGAGTTAACATCAGTTGATTCTACCGAGCTCTTTGGTTCTTCTTCTTTCTCAAACAAAGATAAAGTTATTTATGTTGCTCCTTTTGTGTCATTTTTTGACAACATTTTAAGTTCTTTCTGTTACAGCAGTTTCATTTGGCCCATGAGCTCCTGTGTAGAGCAGAATTAGTGTGTGAAATTACAGTACCTTCAAAAGAGCATTCACACCAGTACCAGTATACAGTTTGGTTTTGTGTGCATTCCTTTGGGTGCATGGGAACTGCAGTTTACGGTAAATGAAATCACTTCAGTAAAAGAGCTTTTCCCTGCTGATGTTTTGGGGTGTGTGGGAACAGAAAACTGTTCACCGCAGGTCACAGGAAACTGTCCTTTGCACAAGCAATCAATCTGCACGCAAAAGAGAAAGTGCAGAGAAAGAAAATAAGTTTCCTGCTACAGTTTTCACACGTTCACAATAAATGAGCACCCGATTCAAAGTAAATAATATATTTACTTATTTACTTTGGGTAGATCATTGGTTCAAACTCCAAATGATGAGCCTTGAATAAATATGACCAAACTCATGAATAAATGTGTGTTCTTCCTTTTAGATAAGCATTCAAAAAGAATATAAAAAGTGTATTTCAGAAACCTGAAAATGTATTTCCCCTACAGAGGAACAGTCCCTAAAGTTTTTCTGTGCTGGATTTTCTGGAGTGACAAACATCCCAGGGTTCATTGGTGCTGTGATGGTTGATGGAGTTGAGGTTGTTCACTACGACAGCAGCATCAAGAGAGCTGAACCCAAACAGGACTGGATGAAGAGACTAATGGAAGATGATCCAGGACACAGGGACTGGTACACTGACGAGTGTCATGTTAATCAGCGCTTCTTCAGTTCCACTATTGACAGTTTGATGCAGGACCTCAATCAAACAAGAGGTATATTGGTGTATAAGTTTCCTGTTTACAATGGTCTTATTGATTGATAATGGTGGAGCTCTTAAGAAGTATACTATACTATAAATGTATAAATTAGTATTAGTATGTATACATACTAATAGGAATATTATAATATTGGGTGTAGATCATTTGAGCATCTTTATACAATGTCAAATAGTTTAATCTCATCAGATTGTATAAACTGTATAATGTTTTTCAATTCTTAATCTGAAAGTAACAAGTAAAATGTAAAAGTAAAATATTTCTCTTTGAATTATAAAGCAAGTATGAAGTAAATAAAATAAAAACACTCAAATACAAGTAAGTCAAAATTGCACTAAAGTACACTTCTTGTACATTAAATGCACTGATTTCCATTCCACCATAGCTGGTCGATTGTTTGTCATCTTCAGGATATAATTTGATGATGATTTTATGATGATAAACACGATGAGCTGAAAATAACTTTGATGGACTCTCGCTCTGGTTTACTGCAGTCTCTGTCTCTCTTTTAGGCGTCCACACTTTCCAGAGGATCTATGGCTGTGACTGGGAGGATAAAACTCCAGAAGTTATTGGTTATGATGAGTTTAAATATGATGGAGAAGACTTCATATGGTTAGACCTGCAGACACTGGAATGGAACAATTCAACACCATAGGCTTTCATCACCAAGCAGGAGTGGGACAGTGACAAAGCTACAATAAACAACATTAAGTTTAACCTCACCCAGCATTGTCCTCAGTTGCTGAGCAAGTATTTAGACTATGGGAAGAGCTCCTTGCTGAGAACAGGTAGAATCACTGTTCACATGTCTCAATGTGAAGCAACATATTGAGAACCACTGCACAGATCCATATTTTTCTGTCTCTTTCTCTTTATTCTGCAGAGCTTCCCTCAGTGTCTCTCCTCCAGAAGACTCCCCGCTCTCCAGTGAGCTGCCACGCTACAGGTTTCTACCCTGACAGAGCCACACTGTTCTGGAGGAAAGATGGAAAGGAGCTTCCTATTGAAGGTCGTGCGGAGGTCCTCCCAAGCAACGATGGAACCTTCCAGATGAGTGTTGACCAAGTCCCACCAGTCATACCTGAAGACTGGGGGAGTTACGAGTGTGTGTTTAAGTTCGGTGACGAGGACGACAACGTCAGCAAACTGGATAAGGCTGTGATCAGAACCAACTGGGGTATGTTTACATCAGATGCAATTTTATGTTTGTCCCACTAAAACTCTGCACTCTGGTGCACAGTTCAGGAATTATTTACTTCAATAGACGTTACAAATAATATCAGGGTGGTTATAGTAATTTTTCCTAGCTTTACATAAAAAAGTAAATGTTAAGTCAAACCCATTAAACATTGTGTTTCTTACAGAGGAACACTCCCTGAAGTTTTTCTTTGCTGGATTTTCTGGAGTGACAAACTTCCCAGAGTTCATTGGTGCTGTGATGGTTGATGGAGTTGAGGTTGTTCACTACGACAGCAACATCAAGAGAGCTGAACCCAAACAGGACTGGATGAAGAGACTAATGGAAGATGATCCAGGACACAGGGACTGGTACACTGACGAGTGTCGTGTTAATCAACACTTTTTGAATTCCATTACTGACAGTTGATGAATTTATGCCATACTGGAGGTAATTTATATTTTTAGTACTTAAACATTGTAATATGACCAATATCCAGTGGTGCAAAGTAATGAAATACAAATACTTAAATAATGTATGTTTGGTTTTTTCAAGTATCTGCACTTCACTTTTACTATTTTTCTGACATTTCTAACCAAATATCCATAACTTCTACATTTTCAAAACAGACTCATTACTTTAGTTTAGTGGGATGAAGTTTTAAACTGTTGTAAAATATTTGGACTCAATAAGATAGTACTGTATTATGAGCTCCCAATAGGTTACTGTATCTGTCTCTCTCTTAGATGTCCACACTTTCCAGAGGATCTATGGGGGGAAGACCAGGTTTATACTTCGGATGAGTACCGTTATGATGGAGAAGGCTTCATGGAGTTCAACCCAATAACACAGACATGGATCCCTTCAACTCATCCACAAGCTCGCTACACCAAATTTCAGTGGGACACAGACAAAGAGAGAATTAAAAACATTACCCTGCATCTCACAACGTGTTCTGACTGGCTGAAGAAGTGTTTGGACTACAACACTTTGCAGAGAACAGGTAGAATCACATGACCTTACGACTCTATGGACACGTGTGTCACATATACATATAGAGCCACTGTAGAGCTATAATGTTTCTACATTTACACTCACTATCTCTCTCTCTCTCTCTCTCTCTCTCTCTCTCTCTCTCTCTCTCTCCCAGAGTTTCCCTCAGTGTCTCTCCTCCAGAAGACTCCCTCCTCTCCAGTCAGCTGCCACGCTACAGGTTTCTACCCTGATAGAGCCTTGATGTTCTGGAGGAAAGATGGAGTGGAGATTCATGAGGACGTGGACCACGGAGAGATCCTCCTCAACCACGATGGATCCTTCCAGATGAGTGTTGACATGTAACTTCATTCATCAGTCCCATCTGCAGACTGGAGGAGGTACGACTGTGTGTTTCAGCTCTCTGGTGTGAAGAACGATATTGTCACCAAACTGGACAAAGCAGTGATCAGGACCAATGAAGGTAAGACTGAAACAAACTCTCATTTAGTAACGTGGTGAGTTGTAGAGCTACATTTCCCACCGTGCTGTGGTTGATGAAAGTAAGATGTTGCTGTGGAGACAATGAGTTCAGTTGTGGCCGACACTCTGAGCCCTGTTTTTGCAGTTTAACCAATTCTTTCAGTTCACCACTTGTCGTTTTTACATATCAGTTTTTGCACAGATTAAATTAATGAAACGTGACGTGTTCATTAGTTAAACATTTAAAGATGCTGGTAGGTACATTTTGTTACCTTCAGACAGAGCTAGCTGTTTCCCCTGTCTCCATACTTGGGCTAAGTTAAGCTACTGGCTTTAGTCTAATGTTTAACATATGAGAGTAATATCAAGATTCTCATATACATCTAATAAAAGGCTTATTTCCCAAAATGTCAAACTATACTATGTTATCTCTTTCTGAGCAGGGTGATAATTATGTTTTGAGCATAATCAGAAATAAGCTGTTATTATTCTTTCAGAACCACGCAAGATGGCTTTTAGGTTGCAAAAGTATAAATGGGCTTGTGATAAAAGTGTGTTCTGTTGGTTTAGTTCCAGTTCCTTCACCAGCATCCTCCTATGGTCCTGTCATTGGAGTTGGTGTCTCAGTACTTCTCTTCATTGTGGGCATCACTGTTTACCGTTCATGCCAGGTATGTCATAATAAAGTTCTGTGATAACGTTATCTGACAATCCATTTGGCATCTCTAGTGACAATATGCACTGAGCATAGTTTTCTTTCTTTGTGTCCTTTCATCAATTTCTAAATAAACAAAGAAATACATTTCTGCACATTACATCACATTAACCTACAAAACATTGTACAAGATCTGAGCAGCAGAAGGTTTAATTCTCCTTTCATATGTGAACAACATTGAAACACCAAAATGCCTACATGTCCCCCTCCCACCATCCTCTCACACACACTTTCAATTTCAACCTCAGCTGTGCTTCTGTTTGTGTGTGGTGGAGTAGCATGTATGCCTACATAGTAAGATACAGTATAATGCACTGTGACGTTGTGTGACTGATCCGTACATTAATGAGAAGATTTAAAAGGAATATTAAAGGATTTAAATTAACAACAGTAATTAACATTAATATGTTAAACAATTTACATGGATACTGTAAAGGTTAGAAATTGTTCTGTGGATATTGGTACCATATAATTTATAATGACATGCACCGGTAGTATAGATCATCCGGTCCCGCCTTCCTGCAAACCACTGCCACAGTACCAACTACTCTCTTTCACTTAAACCTTGGTGCTCGAACTGGAACCACAGTGACTCTTTATCAGTATGAATACACATTAAAGACGTTCATCAAAATGTCTGAATTCAGCATGAAGACCCTGATGTTTCTGGCTCTCCTGGGAATCAGTCTACAAGGCGCAGCAGCAAGTGAGTCAGTTGATGGCCTGTGATGTTTAGTTCCTGTATCTGTGTACATGTCAATAAGTAACTGGAAAAAGTTCAAAAATGCCACAAAAGGTCACACAAAAAAAAAAAAATGAAATGTTACAGTTCAATTTCTATACATTAAAAAAAAATACCTGACCTAAATATCAGATTTTATTTCTATCCATCATCTAGAAATATCAATATCAGTATTTGCCTAAAAATATTTAAGCAATATTTTAGCATTTGATATATAAATGTATATTTATATGATGTGTGATATATTTGTTAAACATTTTTGGTATTTGCAGTGCAGAATTCTGAAAGTGCAACTTAACACATAAAGCCAAATTGTGTTGGCTATATGACTGGATCAGATAATCGCTTGTGGGGTGTTCCTGGTCTGCAGAGGTCAGTACCTATCACAAGTGGTCCAAGGAAGGAAAAGCGGTGATCCGGAGACAGGGTCATGGGGGGCCAAGGCTTATTGTTGCAAGTAGAGAGTGAAGGCTGGCCAGTGTGGTCCGATCCAACAGACGAGCTACTGTAGGTCAAACTGCTGAAAACGTAAATGCTGGTTCTGATAGAAAGGGGTTAGAACACACAGTTCGTTGGAAAAACAATATGACCACCAGGGTGATCAGGTGGTCTTATTGTTATGGCTGATCGGCGTATAGTGTTGCATACATGTATATAGCAGGTGTTACTAAAACATTTAAAATACATGACATCAAACAAGAATAATAATATTGATACAAAGTAAATACTAATAAAGAACCTATAAAGTGTGTTTCTCTTTACTCTCCAGACCTTCCCTCAGTGTCTCTCCTCCAGAAGACTCCCTCCTCTCCAGTCAGCTGCCACGCTACAGGTTTCAAACCTGACAATGCCACACTCATCTGGAGGAAAGATGGAGAGGAGCTTCATGAGGACGTGGGCCACGAAGAGATCCTCCCCAACAATGATGGATCCTTCCAGATGAGTGTTGACCTGAACCTTTCATCAGTCACTGAAGACTGGAGGAGGTACGACTGTGTGTTTCGGCTCTATGGTGTGAAGAACGACATCGTCATCAAACTGGACAAAGCAGTGTTCAAGACCAACTCGGGCAAGCCTGAGATCAGCATTGACAAAGGTGAGAAACACAGATTTAAAGGGGATTATTATGCTCTATTTGAGCTCTGTATTCTTGGATCTGAGACTCCACTGTTGTAACTTTGCATGATTCACTCTTCAAAAACAACCTTATTTATCTTATAGTAGCTCATCATGCAGCCCCTCAGTTCAATCTCTGAGTGAAACATAAAACTCACTATTTGCACAAACCTGGTAACCTTGATAAATAGATGGATGGATCTTTTCTAATCTGCTTCCTCTCCACACATTGTGATTTTTGTTTATTTGTGTTGTTTTTTGCTGAGCAGAGAAGCCCAAAAACGTCAAAATCTCGATTACTGCTAGAGTGGTTGTTCTTGCTGTCGTCCTCAGTGGTGCTATTGGATTTATCGTTTACAAAATAAAGAAAGGTGAGTTACTTGATTGAACTGAGTTGATGCTCTGCAGACTGAAAAACTTAACTAACATTTAATAATGCACGAGAATGAAGTCGTAATATTACGAGAATAAAGTCATAATATTAGGTCTACGAGAATAAAGTCGTAACAACACATGAATAAAGTCGTAATATTATGAGAATAAAGTGGTAATATTACAAGAATAAAGTCGTAATATTACGAGAATAAAGTCATAACATTACGAGAATAAAGTCGATATATTACGAGAATAAAGTAGTAATTCTATTAGAACTGTCAGCCTGTTGGCTCAGCCAGCAAAACTGTTTAACGATGAAATTATGAATACGTTATCTTACCTGTTGACTGTATGGTATGATTATGTATTGTATTATTATTACATTATTCTTATATTATAACGACTTTATTCTCGTAACATTATGACTTTATTTTCGTAATTTCCAAAAAAATAAAAATATATATTTATTTTTATATTTTTTTTAGTCTGGCCCTAATACTCCATCGTAGTAACCAACAGTAGCAGAGTAAGGCTCAGATATATTGTTAGAATAATCTACAAAATAATACACATAATCTAAATAGAGAGGAAAAGGGGGGATTTATTTCTCAGTTTATATGAGAGAGAATGAGATTCAAAACGAAAGATCTTCTGGCATTTGTGACAAATTCAATTATTCATCTTTTCTTCTTATTTCAGCCAATCGCCCTCCACGTCGTAAGTAGAACTTGTTTTTATTCTATTGTCCCTGACACGTTCTTTACATTGTGAGCTGAGGTAGTTCAGTGCAGGAGAAGAGGACTAACAGTGTGTTTCTGACCTTGCAGCTCCTGAAAACAGCTCTGAGCTCTCTGAGAATCTGAATCACGAGCAAACACACCACCCTGCACACAGTGACGTCATGTGGGACAACAAAACAGTGAACCTAACACCTCCAGTTAAAGCAGTTTAATATTGTTTTGCCGTTCACTGTAAAACCTCTGAAACACTTTATAGTTTCTTACAACCAACGATGTACAGTACGATCATGAATATTTTAGATCTCAGTTAAATTGAATCCTCAGGTAATGATATGATATTATAACTTTTGGAATTGAATTGGAATTTCTGTTTTATATGATTATTCTTTCTGTCTCTTTAGGTTTGTAGTTTAAGTGTCTGTTCACAAAAATGACCTCTAATGATATGAAACATGCAGGTAGATTTTTCAGAGGCTTTGTGATATCAGAACTCTGCATCCACTCAGATATTGAATTGAATTGAATGCCTTTATTGGCATTATACACAGTACAATGAGATTTAAGAGCAGCTCCGTAAAAGTGCACACATAAAACGATAAAATGAAAAAACGATATAAAAGACTATACAATAAATACAATGCAATACAATAAGTACATTAGTGCAAATGAGAGTTGAGTATGGTGACAGCTTTGGGGAAGAAGCTGTCCCTGAGTCTGTTTGTTCTTCTGTTAAAAATCTCAGCCCAGTATGTTTAAAGCAGAGAGAGAAAAACTACACTCAATGCTCAGTGACCTTACCGAACAGATTAAAACTAACATCATTCATTTGG